AGTGCATGTTAGACTAATTTACTCTGAATGGAGAGTTGATGGACGATTATTTGCCTTGTTATTTCGTCATGGCGTTATACATCGCAGCCTCACTGTATGCACCGTTAAATTATTTTTAATGGCTGGTGTTATGTAACGTTGATGAAAATAGATTCCCGAAAATATCTAACGTTAATAATACAGGTTCCATGTAACAATCGCTGTCGAAATGTTAGTCAAATCTCATTTATAACATCGGTACGTTTCATGTACAGTGCGGTATTGCTTGTACTGTAGCTGCGTATGTATCACGAAGGGTCCATTTCATTAACTCTGTAAACGCAAAAAGTACCTTTTCACTGGTTCTTAATGTGTGCCCAGTGGGGTGACGAAATTAGATCACTATTACCAATATACAGTACCTTTCATCATTCTAAAGAATGACTTAACAAAAGCCTGGCTAGCGTTTGTAATTGTATTTACTCGCAATTGGAATTAAGCCTCTTGACCAGAGTCGAGAAAAACCTGCTGACACATTCAGACTCGCTTTAATGCCTCTCAAATGCAACGCTACTGTATTTCGCCCGCGTGAACGATTGTTTTTAAAACTAATAGAAATCATTCTTGTGTATGATAATGAAAAAAAAAATCTGACACATGTTTTACAAAGAATAGTGCAGTCCATTAAATTGGTATGCACAATAAGCAAGTGAGTATGTAACCGCCTTTGTTAGGGTTGACACAAAATGAAACGCCAGAATCCTAAATAACTGTAGTACTGCAGTCTTATATTAAGTCTTGTATACATTTATATTTTAACTATATTTCAAGTGAGAATATGGGAGTTAAATGAATTTGAATGAAAGCAAATACATATATCTACAGACATTTAAAAGGAAGTATGGGTCTTACATGCAAGACTTACTGCAAGTGTTAGGGTTTAGCTTGTTTTTTATAGTATTACATTAATAAAACAAATGATGTTGCAAAAGACGGACAGACCAACGTTATGTATTGTAATGCATTGAGAAGCATTGTAGGCTATTTTCACAACATACAACTAGAGTAGCTAGTATCTAAAAGAAAATGTGAAACTGGGTAATTCGTTCCTGACTAGTTTTCTTCTAGGCCCAAAGCGTTTGCCTGTAAAAGCACTTTACAGGCTCAAACCCTAGCATTTGACAGTAGACTTTGTAAAGGAGCATATAAAGAGTAACTATAAAAATGTTTTCTATATTGCTCTAGAGGTGTCTGCTAAATAAATGATACAAAAAGACATTGATAGATATTAGCTGTGTCCTGCAGTCACCCCTACTGTATATACATTCATTTTCATGAACTGAAAGGTCAGTACGGTTAAATGTTACAGTAAGCAATGAGTCCTGCCTGGCGGAGGCCCCTGGTCACATTGTGGCACAGTATGTGCTGTACAAGTGGGAAACGGCTCATTCAGATATGGGCTGTGACTCCAGCAGATCATAGCTGTGCACTCCAGCTATTCCAGGGACTGTGTGTTACTGCCCAGGTACCTCCAAGGGTCTGTGGGCAGAAGTTGTCAGGGTAATCATTAGGCTGTTCACACTAGTGACCCCTGTCATTGGTCTGGCATACCCTGTCTTGTCAGTAAAAGGGGCATCTCCCCTGCATCTGGTTTATTAGTTTCTGTTGTGTGCAGTCAGAGTTTATAGTGTGATAGCAAGTGTTGTCTTTCTTTCCTGGACTGGTGTCTGCTGATCAAAGGAGATGCTAATGAGCACCATATAGTGGGATATTAAAAGGAAGAATAACTTCAAAATAAGATGCTTAACTGTTATGTAGACTCTTAAATAAATATTGAGCTATCTAATTCTGAATTAATCTAACCTAGGCTAAAGGACAGATTACCATTCACTGTTTAGAAGCATACTGTATGTTGGACCATCATTTTGTAAAAAATTATTGATCTAAGTATTTCGCTTTTGTATTTTAAAACATTTTGTCAAATTTTCTACATTTGTTCATAGGTAGATATTGTAGGCATATTCTGATAATGCATTGCTGTATTTAACACTATAATCAATAAAATACCACCACATTTACCGTGGACTAGTTTGTATATATTTCTGTGTGAATATTATATTAAATGTTTGATTTCTGCCTTTTAGGTTGTAGTTGGACTATCGTCTGAAAGAATGGAGATGGTAACGCATTTCATAAATGACACCATAGAATTCTACAAATGGGGCTTGACCATAGCAGGTAATTGTTTGTTTTTTTTTCTTTTGTCTTACTGATGAGGCAGTGTATCTGGGCTCACTTGGTGAGTCTGTTTCGGTAACGGTAAAGGCCAGATGGTAACTGCAGTCTGGCCTTTAGCAAAGCACTGTTTCCGGAGGGCTTGATTGGCTCAGGCCTGGGAGTTTGCCTGAAAGACAGGGATCGAATCCCAATGGGAAAAGAGCTACATGCTTATCTTATTGTAGCACACTCGCCGCTGCCGCCTTAGGTCAGCCCCCCACCTTTGGGGACTCGAACCCAGGCCTCCGGCGTCAGTCAACAGGGCTGAGCTAAAGGGAGATCTCCCCCCAGCCCGGCGGCTGAGGTCCCTGCTATTCACAGGGAAGGGCGGTGACGTCACTACGCTGGCAAGCCGGCTCGCACAACCTGTAATGTCGGCGGTATGTGTTACTTTATCTTATCTTACATGCACCCCAGGGGTACCAAGGCCTGGATAATTGAGATGGGGAAAAGTGTAAAAAGGATTGTTCAGTGTGCCTGTTATAGTTACTCAGCCCTCATAGGACTTCCAGTAGCATTGAAGTCTCACTCTCAGGAGGCTGGGCCTGGCCTTTTGGCAAAGAGGATTTCATCACGTTAGGAGAAGGTACTGTGTGTTTAGCGGCGGAGAGAAAGGAATCCGTTTTTTGCAGGGGACAAACAGCACGTCACGTGCACTTTATAGAAGAATACATGTGGTGATGTCATAAATACCTGTTATGTGCAGCATTTGATACACGTGATATCATTGGTATCATTTTTTACCTCTGATACATAAGTTAATTCAATTTTTTACTATGTTTATAATATTGAAAATAATCACAAAGGTTATTCAGAATAATTATTTTCTTTAACTGGAGTAAGTCTTTGTCTGATGGTTAAATTGTAATAGATAAGGAGGAAATTATCAGTTTACCTGGAAAGATTAAAGTATTGTGCAGTATGGAAATATTGCCGTTACTAAGAAATGGGTAGACCTGAAAACATGTTTCAGGCATACAGTTCATCTGCTCTGCACCCTCTGTTCACGCCTGTCGAGCTTGGCTTTGTTCCGTTTCCTGGCATTGAGGATCAGTCTCACTGGGAGGACATACTGTACAGAAAGCTTGCTATCGTTTTAAAAAGTTTCAACCCCTTATTTTCATATAATTTATATATAAATATTTTCCCCTTGTTTGTTCAATGTTATTATGAATCTGAAATTCTAATTACCAAATAAATGTAATTCTGGATAAATGAACAAGTAATAGGTTTATTCCATGCTGAAAAAAAGAAGAGAGAAAACACAACGTTTCGGCTCCACGGCCGAAACGTTGTGTTTTCTCTCTTCTTTTTTTCAGCATGGAATAAACCTATTACTTGTTCCTTTGCAGCCTACGCATGCTGACCCAGCTACCCACCTGAACTATTCTGGATAAATGCTACACTTCAGTTACTACACTATTTATATAATAGTGCTATACTGTATACTGTATGCTTATGGCCTAAATTTGCCAAAAGAGTTCAAGTACAATTGCGGTTCTTTCTGCCATTACTTCAGTAGTTGTTTAGGAATATTAACAGGGTAGTGTTTAGTTACGCAGTCTTTAACATTCAGTATATTAATTATGTGGTTATATACAGTATGTACAGTTTATTTTTCTAGCTTTATTATTCATTTCTTATTGTATTTGCAAATGTTTAGTACAATGATGCCAAGTCTGTGTTTTTTAATTATTTTACAGCTTTAGGCCTACTGTATATTTTAGCAGTAAATGATCAATCTGACACTTTATGAATAGCACACTACACAGCAGACTGCTGTATCGCCATATGTTGTACTAAGCATAATCATGATTTTGCATTGTTTTGAAAATGCAGATTTGCATGTGTTTGATTCAGAATAGTAAGTTTAAGGTCCTAATTAGCTGAGCATCCTCTACATTGATGTTTCTACCCTGTAACAGCACTTACAATAAATCATATTTGAAATACTATAGTGCCTTGCAAACTTATTCACCTTTTTCCAATGAGCTCACCTTTTGATTCATTACATTTGTATAAGCCCACATTTTTAAACTGGATATGTTTTTATCAAAACCTTTTGAATGTTTGGAAAATCAGGAACAAAAATGAAACTAAAAGACATTGATTGCAAAAGTATTTGCCCACTGACAAATTTGTGGAAGCACCTGTTACACCAGGTAGAGATATGAGTCTTTTTAATTAAGTCGCTGCCAACTTCGCACACTACGATGGGCCAGTGTTTGCCCATTCTTCTTTGCAAGCTTGCTCACTCTCTGTCAGCTTGGTTGGGGATCATTGGTGAACCACAATATTCTGATTTTGTAGCAGATTCCTGCTGAAAGCAGACAGACGTGCAGTGTTGCCAGTACTGACCCATCCATTTTCCTCTCCGTCTTGACCAGTTTTCCATTCCCTGCTGATGAGGACCAGCTCCAGAACACAACACTTTTACTACAATGGTGCTGGCTTCTGGGTGGCACAGTATACAACATAAGAGGTTACATACACTATAACACCATTTGGTTCATGTGGCCTGTTTGGTAGTGAGTAGATAATTCATCCAAGAATCTCTTTGTCACATCTTGAAGGATGCCAGGGTATGAGCTTCAACTATATGGCTGAGAAGCTAGTTTCAGACCCCCACCACACTACCTTATAGTTCAATACCCTTCACACTTCTTAACGATGAGCTTCATTCAGCTGAAAGGGATATTCAATGTCTTCACAATTTTTGTACACATACTTCTCCTGATTTCTGTCTTTCTCAAACTTTAACCCTGAGCTGTTATGAATCCTTTTTGGTCTTCAGATGGAGACTTTGCATGAACGTCTCTGACTGAGAGACCTTACAGAGACAGGTGTATTTATTCTGAAATTAACCAATATATTTGTACACAGGAGCAGTTCAACAAATTGTGACATGTCAGCGCAATTTTCTGCACTCAAAGTAATTTCTGTGCTCTAACAAAGGGTGTGAATATTAATATTAATAGAAACAATATTTTGTTTGTTTGTTTTTCTTTGCATTGTTTATGTTTCACCTTTCCCCCATTAAAGTGATCAGTTTGAGCATTAAAGTTTTGATTAAAATATTCATTTTAAAAAATGGGTGCATACCCTTTGGAACTGAACAGAATAGGACATTAATAATTAATAATAATTGCTTTCACTTATATAGCGCTTTTCTGGACACTCCACTCAAAGCGCTTTACAGGTAATGGGGACTCCCCTCCATCATGTGCAGCCCCACCTGGATGATGTGACGGCAGCCATATTGCGCCAGAACGCTCACCACACGTCAGCTATCAGTGGGGAGGAGAGCAGAGTAATGTAGCCAGTTCATAGAGGGGGATTATTAGGAAGCCATGATTGGTAAGGGCCAATGGGAATTTTGGCCAGGACGCCGGGGCTACACACATTATTAGGACATTTGTAAAACAAGTGCAAGGCTGTGTATATGAGGATGGAGAGGGATTTCAGGGTCTCATAAAGGTAGTTTTAAGTTTTGAGAAGGTGCTGGCAGATGGTCCGAGACACTACAGTCCTTTTGGTGGCCAGGAGGTAGGAGAGTGAGGGAAAGGTATCACCAGATATACAGCTGGAGGAGCTGTCGGCAGAGAGAACAGGAGGAAAACAGGAGGGTGCAAAGCGGCAGATAGGGTAAATTCAGGATTTCTCACCTTACTTACTGAGACCAGTATTGAGTGAAGAGTCCAGATACAAGAGCAATATGCCCCAGATGAAGTACTAAGCGACCAGCTGGACTTTGAATGAGCTGGAGGAGGCAGGCTACTGCTGCACATAGACCAGTAAGGTGAAACATGTAGTCAAGGCTATATCGACAGCAGAGAGCAGAATCATGTCATTTATTCAAAGAAAAAGGTCAAGATCCTCTCTATATTATCAATATTTCTATCTTGTAGGTTTTATAATCTGAATGTAAGTGGTTATAAATAAAAGGAGGCCATATAACCTTTCTATAATAGCTTGTTTAGTTGCTCATAGCTAATTAATCAGTCATTGCTTGAATTAGTCAGGTTATCTCCTTCAACAGCATGGGTGGGTAGCTTGTTATAGACTTCCATTACAAAGAAGTGTTTCCAATTCTCAGTTTAAAATGAATCCAATTCCACTCAGTCTGCTCTCTTCAAAACTAAAAATATTTGCTACTGTATATTAGGAAGAAGTAAAGGTTAATTCCTTTGCTGCTGATACAGTCCCCCACTCAAGAACCTTCAATTAATTCAGCCCTGGAATGGTAAGAAAGTAAGAAGGTTTGTAAGCAAATTTTCTTTACTGTGGGTACTTCACTTAAGATCAGTGTTCCCCATTTTATGCTTCTAATTAGAGCCAAGATATTGGCAGAAGTATTTTAGTAAAGGTCATAGATACTGTAAGTCAGAACACTGTATTCCTCTTTTTTAGTTGTGATTCCAGTTTTTGTAGCTATTGCATTACAATATGTTGGGTTTCTGTATTATTTTGTCTTTCATTGATTTAAACAATTTTTGGACAGGCTTACTGAAAGGTGATTATCACAACCTGTTATAGTTAACAAATCTGTCAGTTTTTTTTTAATCAGTTGTCTTATTTAAAAGAATCGTTTAAGGTTTTTAGCACTCCAGACTTTAACAAACTATTATTTGTTAAATTCACTGTGTTTAAAAGGGTAGTTCTTGTTTCCAGTAGGTGTGAAAGATTTCATTCTTACTGCCCTATGGCTTAGGATCTCTGTATATGAAGTTGCCTTTTGAACAGTTAACCCCTTCAGGAGTATTATTACACATCTTTTTCAAGGAATTCCTGTCTTTAGAGGAATAGCTTTTCTTTCCTTGCAGGGCTGTGACAGACTTAATTCATTGGTCTGTCTTTAAGCTTTGCACCTTGAACCAGGAGTCTGTATGCAAATGTGCCGTTTCTTCCTCCAGTGTCATCCTGCTAGATGAGATTGGTGGTAACCTGTCTCCTTTTCATGTCTGCTTTGTGCTTCATGGGTTGCATTGTGGCCTGTTCTCAGTGACGTCTGCCTCAGCCCCGGTAGAACTCCCACGTTTAACATCTTCCTCGCTCACATTCTCCCTTATGGCTTCTAATTGCTGGTTGGTGGCACTTCGTGATGTGGCTGGTGCGTCTCTCGCCTTGGGTTCCAGGCAGCACTTCTGCTTTTACCTTCTGCTACCGTCACACGGCAGATTTGCTTTTAAACACACTTTTCTAGGTCAATAGAAGAATGTTCCTGAACTTCTGCTTTTAATAATTAGTGCTCTTAATTTACACTATCCCGTCTTCTACTCAGTTTGTTCTGTGTTGGGTTGCTTGTATTATTTGACAGTTCTCATTACACTTCCCCTGAAGTGTCAGAGTCGTGCCACACAGTAGACTTTCCATTTTTAATCTGTATGCGTCCAAAGACTGAAGCCCATATTTAGCTTTCTCAAAATCTTCACACCATTGCGCCAAGTTCTTTGGGTATCATTTAGACTCAGCTGGCCCCAAGGCTGTGTTGCTGATTGCCATTATTTATAGGGCCATTTTTAAATTACTTCAGCTTGTCACATAAGCAAGACTGAGCATTGTAATAGAATGCTATCATCAATCTGTATACTGTTCGACATTTTAATCTAAGAAAATGACTGGTGTGTTTGTGGAGCAGTGGTTCTTAACTGTATGTTAATTTCTGTTCTTTGTATTACTGTATATCTCTTTCGCATATGCTAGTCCTTGATTTGTTTTTCTTAATGTGACTTGTTTTTGGAGACGACTCAGAAAAACTTTAGGCTTTCAGAATCAGTAAGGTTTTCATCCATACTAGACCCTTTTTTCAACAGGCTGTCATCTCATAATGGTGGATAGAGACAGACAAATGGTGCTTCTGATTTCGGTGCAGACTGGACAGTACTTATTCTCTGATGAACCAGTGAGCTCTCCATTGCATAAATTAAAACCTCTCAAAAATTGGACCCCACAGGCTTTCTTGTGAGCTTCTGTTTTTGTTTGTTTATTTTATGTTTGAGTTTTTTTCATTTTATTTTGCCTTATTCTATTTAAAAATATCATATGTTTGGATACTGGTGTATTGTGATGACACAGAAGTATTCTACATAAATTGCTTTTTAAAGTACGTAAGGTCATTTTATTCATCATGGTGTTTTTGCCCCGTGGTTGTTTTTTTGCAAGCTTTCTGAACCACCTTGGTTTTTCATCTGAAGTTGTACGAGGGAACTAGAAGTGTATTCATGGTGATCCTTATGTGTCAGATACTCAAATATAGAGGTGTGCATTGCATAGTGTTAAGGCATAGGTAAATATGACATGAATCTGTGTGAATTTATTATTGTGAGTAAATAACGTCATCGGTTGTACATGTTTTATTGGATTTGGAATTGTCCCAGAAAGTGAAAAGCTGAAAAGGGATCGAAAAATGTAGAGCGTTTCACTGTTGAAATCTCTGAATTGCAAGAAACTTCCATTGCTGTTCCCAATGGGATAGTATTGCAGAGTGACTCCCCTTTGGGTACCCTAGTGGAACTTGGCCTTTGCCCGATGCGATGAAGGGATGGGATACGTTTATGTATCATATTCCATCATAGCTGCAGTGTACGGGCTTCCGTAAGCAGGATGTTGACAGTAGGGTTGGAATGCGTCTCAGATGCCTCCACTCTGTGCACTGTGCCAGCATGGCCATGTGACTACCATGGTACACCACTAGAAGTCCTTGCCATCAGGCATGGCTCCAGCTCAGTGCATTCAGGATATGATGACATTACCTTGGTTATGTCAGAATAGGCCAGGATGCTACTTCCAGATATTCACACAAGGGATGATATGATACTGTATGTTAACCTAAGTCTCACATTGTACTGATCTGTAAACTCTGTGAAATTGGCCGTTGAATACTTATGTGCATTTTGTGTGAAATATGTTAATACAGGTTCATCTCTCACAGAAGCACAAAGTCTGCTAGATGTACTGTGTAAGACAGGAGAGGACGTCTATGAATGGCTTTCAAATACTGAACAATATCCATGATTTAGTATTCAGATATGGAACTTTTCATTCGATGCGGTTTCAAAGCTAGAAAAGACTTTCTTTTGGCAAGACTGTAGCCTTGGGGTCATCTTTTGCAAACACAAAATGTGGATTTCTACAAAGCATAAGGCGAATGTCCCCTTTAAGCAGTCCACTTTTGCTTTGCGTGTTACTATGTGTTAATCAAATGTTCTTAAAAAGGTGTAAATTGGTTTTGCTGGGAGTCATTTTTCCATGTGTTGGGAATCAAATGAATAGAGTAAAAATGACTTAAACACTTTTATTGCAATGTTAAAAACTGCACACACTAATTCCACACGTTTATGGTGGAAAGATTAGTGAGATGAGAGATTGGGATGGAAATTGGTGAAGTACTGTTGAATGTATCAGTTTTAAAGTGACTGATTTGGCAGGGGGGTGGTGGTTATGTACAATACATGGGACTAGTGTTCTACCATTGTTTTTTGCATGAAAGTCAATGGACGCGATTACCAGCACGCTTTCTGAAAAGTTTGTATTTTGCCTTTCTTTTGTACTGTATTTACAGACAAGCGGGTGGAGAAGTGGCCGTTGATGCAGTCTCCTCTTCCCACGTTGACAATTAGCACTCTTTATCTTCTGTTCATATGGCTTGGCCCAAAGTGGGTGCAGAACAGAGAGCCCTTTCAGTTGAGATCCATACTCATCGTCTATAATTTTGGCATGGTAATACTGAATTTCTTCATCTGCAAAGAGGTAAGCATAGTCTAGTTGTCTTTGGAATGATGGTGGAATTACACGGAATTACAAAACCAGTAAGGGTCATAGGCTTGTCATGCCTTTCTCTTTTTAACATTTCAATATTGGTGTACAATGTCCGCTGTAAGAAATTTTAAAATAAATTATACTTTGAAATGTGATCAAGAAGTCAAGAGTGAATCTGATATTATCATTTATTTTAAAGGTATATATAGGTGGTTATAATTGTAATAATTTCCTATTTTTACAAATACAAAAATTAAGATATTACATCTGATGTATATGAATTTTGAAGTTTATTGTGCTATAGCTCTAGTCTCACTCTTAAGACTCACTGAGGGACATTTTCTGTCCTGAACAGGACCTAATGCTGTTTTCAGTCCTTTGCGTTAAAACCTTTGTTCAAATATGAAGCGCACATGGTTTGATTTTAGTTTTAACAAATACCCAAGCATGTGTTTATTACATTATCTGGCTTTACGCAGATGAAAGAAAAATGTTTAAAGGAATAGTTCATATTTTTCTCTGATGTGTGGTAAGATGCATAGGTGAGTCGAAACCTGTACATAAGTAAGCTTTGGTATAGCCAGCATTCTTTACTGGTATATTAAGAAGCTGATTGTAGCAGTCCTACACTGCTCCATCTATATGAGGTTAATTTCTAACTGAAAAACAATATCGCAATGTTTGTTAATATTTTACAGTATATCCACGTATTACAATGTTTTTTGTTAAACACTTGTTTTCTTTAATTTAAAATAATGTAAAAACTGAGATATATATTTTATACTTAAGGTCTTTGTAACTCAATTATTCTCACCAAAATAATTCTGGATATCTTTGATGTTGACTTATTCTTTGGACAGAACAGGATAGATAGGGAAATTGTCAATGTCAGAGCTGCACAGGAGCAAACTGAGTTTAACATACTTATGCTATATTTATTCCATTACAGTATTTTAATGCTAGAAGTCTCGATAATTATCTTGCATTTTTCAGCTCTTTCTTGCTGCAAGAGCTGCGGGTTACAGTTACATTTGTCAACCGGTCAACTATTCTGACGATCCCAACGAAGTGAGGGTAAGCATTATCACAAGTGCTTCTGATCTAATTAACAGCATGGTTATTCCAGTTAAGAGATAAATGAGATGATCTTCCAAACAGTATATTGAAACTTAAACCTTGCCATGTATCTGATGCGATCCCGTAATTAGAAAGTAGGCTCCTATTCCTTTTTGGCTGATATTTAGAGCAGACATACTGAGAGCTGTAGATCCTTGACGTTGCACTTGTAAGTTTGCAATACTTTGGTAGTAAATTATAATTGCATAATATAAAGTATTTCTCTTGGCACTCTGGTTACGAGTTTGAACCATCGGGCCTTTGAAAGCATTCTGTTTTGGGTTTGACTTTGCATTGCCTACGATTAATCCAGGCCAGGTCTGTGCTTAACAAAGTACTTTTCTGATAGTGGGATATTGTATCTTGAGGATCAGATACAATCAGTGTACATACTGTATACTGTATGCCTGTGCTTCGTTAAATACCTCACAAAACCCATGTTCATAATTGTTTAAATATTTATTTTGGCCTTTAAATACTAAGCAGGTTTATATTATCCTCTTAATGTAACTTTTTCAATTTGATACATTTGGTCGTTTTTAAAAAATGACAGTATTTCTTACAATCGATTGCATCTCTTGGCAAAAAGTTTTGGAAGTATTGTACACTTTGTGAATTATATTATCCTCTTAATGTAACTTTTTCAATTTGATACATTTGATCGTTTTTAAAAAATGACAGTATTTTTTACAATTGATTGCATCTCTTGGCAAAAAGTTTTGGAAGTATTGTACACTTTGTGAATTATCTATATACAGATATTTACTTTAAACTCGTTTCAATGTTCTTTGTTTCTCCTTAAGAAGTGTTTTTTGATATTTCTATCCTAATTAATGTTGTAAATTTAAATTTGTGTAAGTAATGTCCGTGAATGTGATGGTTAGGGAGCGACAGGAACTCCTGGCACCTACAGTATGACCCAGTTTTCCGTCATTGTCCTGAGAGAGGAGTCACTGAACATAATGTATTACAAAGCACTAATTAATGGGGATTTAGACTAATGAGAATGGACAAGGCATAACAACTCAAATAAAAAAACATGTAACTGGAATTGTTCGCTTGTCTTCATACATGCCGATATGTACAGTACACGTGGTTGAAACTGGAGTGGAGGTGAAACCGATTCCAAGAGGTGGAGTTGTGAATGATACAATAGAATGTTTCTACACTTCTTAGTCTTTCCAAGCTTCTTACTGTAAAGCTTCTAATTTCCACTTGGCTTATATGATTGCTCCTGACCTCCTTATCCAGAGGCTAGAACTGCAGCTTTCATCCATATGGCTCATTCGTAGTCCTAACCTCATTCTGGAAAGGTAGAGGTACTGGAGAAAAACACTAGTGAGAGGCCGTAATTCATCACTTTAATTTGTGATTTATTTCGTGTTTAAATCTCTGGCTCTACAAGAGAATGATGTGTTTGGTAAAGTGCTAATGTATTTTAGATGCAGACATAACTTTTGGGTCTTTATACTATGGATCCATCTATTCAGAGCTTATAGGGAATGCAGATGGAATTGCATCTGAAAAAAATGCATCAACAACCTTCTTCCACTCACTCTAAGTCATCTTGTGTATTCCCAGCCTAATGGTTTAACATAATCTTCTTATTGAACATATGCTAAATATTGATAATAATAATATAATATTATCCTTATATCATCATTATTAAGGATGTACAGTAGTTCACCTTTTCATGTAAAGTGCCATCAAAAGGCGGAAAAGTCGCTATTGACATCTCTGATGCCAATTTCAATTGAGTGTTAATTAGACAACACTGTTATTTAAAGTGCTTCTCGTAACTTTAGGCTCATGTGTGCACTTGCAAATATGAGAAAGAATAATGGCACAAGGCATCACGTCGTCATGGGAGGCTCATTAAAAGGTAGATCAAGCAGAGCCGCTCACTGAGATTAGGGATGAGCCCACAGTTTCTAATTTAGTGATTGCTCATCTGCTGTCTACAGGAGCAGCTCCTCAGCTGAACGGTTAAGGTTGGGGTACAAACTTTTACCCCACCTGGTTATTATTTTAACCCATGAATGGTTATACACAGTAGGTTTCAAGGAGAAGTAGAAGTGGAAAGAACATGAACTTCCAGTTCCTCTGGTTGTTTTTGTCAGACTGACGTCCAGTTTGTCTTGTGGGAATATGGACTTATGTCAACTGCTGTACGTGGGCAGGAAAGGATATTTAAGTACAGGTCAATCATTGGCATATTTTGCATGTACTTGGTTATCCCCTACATGGTTCTTGTAACTTATGAACACCTGTAGTTTACTTTCAATAACGATTGTAGTTTCTTGCATTTGAATACAGTAAAAGTTTGGTGTTCACGAATATCTGTGAATGCCAAATATGCCAATACAGAGTTTAAACTTTATGGGGAATATAGGTTATGGTTCTGTTAAATGTTCTGAAAAACATTTCTGTAGTATTGTTTTCAGCATAGTGTTTGTAATTATTGATAGTATTTTAAATGTGCTGCTTAAACATAAAGCATTATATTCAAATTACTCACATTATTGCGTGAGCAAACAAATTAGACCACTTTTATTGTAGTTCACCCTGTATTCGTTTTTTTCATTCTTATTAGAACACATTTTCTTAACTTTTTATTACGTTTATAAATGCACCAACACCGTACTGTTATAGTTCCTTAAAGCACAGTAATAACAGACAAGAAAGTAAATTAATTATTGTCGCTCCTTTTCCACTCAAAAAACATGCTTTGCTGCTCCTTGGTTTGTCTCACTTTTTCTTATTGTTGTCCTCTAATGTGAGAGCCAATAACTGCTACTGTTATAAAGGGGCTACAGAGCTTCTTTTAATTGAACATTTCTTTTATATTGCAGCACAACAGTGAGTGTCATGAACAGTACTGTAGGGCATTACTCTGTCACCGACATACAGAACACTCACAGGCAGATCCACACTGTGCACACAAGATGTGCACATGGGTACTCGCACTCCTCTTGCTGCAGAAAAAGTTGTCACTAAAAGTTTTGCATGAATAGGTGAAATCACAAATGTTGATCTTGCAAATGTTGAGGTTTTGCTGTAGTTCTTTTCATTAAATTGCTTTACATAAAGTTGGGGACAGTTTTTCCTGCTTGTTTTCGAGTCTGCAAAAGTGGGGAAAATGCCTAATGTACTGAGTAGTACTAGTAATGTACTAACAACACCCCTCAAAAGTGGGATTCCTTTCATTTTTACAGAAATTTCCATGAGAAAGGATGCCAAAGGGCTTCACACAAAGGAGGAGATACACTTTGTCCTCCACTGAACTGCAGTGTCCACCTTGGAAACACACAACCACCATTATGCATCAGCAGCCCCACTACACAATTCAAGTGGATAATACTGTACATTCCTTTACCAGCTGGAAAAGTTAAGGAGTTATCGTACAAGTCCAGAGTGGATGTTAGGCAAGACACCGGGTGTAACATCTTGGTTTTGACATCTAATCCAAACGACCATACTGCCTGTAAACCAGTGTCCCAAGGCACCTTAGAGGGAATTGGTCTGGAAATTGTGGTACAGAAAAAGAGTGACAACTACTTGTCCACCAACGCCGCTTCCCACAGCAATCTGATTTTCCTTGGAGCTCCTCCATCCCTGCTCAACCTTACTTAGCTTCTAAGAACAGAGTGGAAGCTGGTAACACTGCTGCTCAATTTAGCCTGTAATTAATGAGGCCATATGTCCCATGTATGTGATAATGTGCCACATATCCAACTGATTATATGACAGTAATTATATCTAATATTGTATGATGGTTGTGCACAGTTGGAGCAGGCGGCAACCAGCAGACACAGTGTGCTGATGTACTAATAAAAGCTAAATATTGAATGAAATAGCATCAATAACTAGGTGCTGGAAAAGCCATCTTAAATGTCTTTTATGTTGACATGGAGAAATATTCAAGTGATAATATATTAGAAGAAAAATCCAAATGTTAGGCCGTGGATTTAAGATGCATTTCAATGCACCCATAACCAGGAAGACAGACCGGTGTTTTCAGCTTTTTTGAGAATCTGTTAAGAACTTGTGAACCCTGCAATATAAAAGGAAAGATAATGTCAGGATTTTATGTCGCACGAAATATGCACTTTTCTGGATACATTTTGACCTTTTTTTTTGTTTCCTTTTTGTTCTGCTATCTTGCTTCTTTGTTTAGCATTTGTAACTGGGAATGGTTTGATTTCAGGTACAGCCACAACTGAACAGTCCACATTGCCATTTTAAATTAACTGTAATACTTCTTTAGCCATTTAGCTCCTGACCCCTAGCACACAATGTGTAGATGAATGTCAACATACCCCGGTGATGGTGATGTTTTGTCTCCTGTCTGACAGATAGCTGCCGCCTTGTGGTGGTACTACGTCTCTAAAGGAGTGGAGTATTTAGACACTGTGTTTTTCATCCTGCGCAAGAAATTTAACCAGGTCAGCTTTCTGCACGTCTACCACCACTGCACAATGTTCACCCTCTGGTGGATTGGCATCAAGTGGGTGGCTGGAGGGCAATGTAAGTACGGAGCAGAGAGGCCATGGGCCACGCAGATGGCTGGGCTGTGAAGGGGATTCTCTGGGGATAAGGGTCGGGTTTGGTTAATAGGTTTAACCGCGTTAGATGGGGTTAATCCTTCAAACAATATCGGCACAATAAGGCAGTGCCCAAAGCAATGTGAACCTGATCTCATTTAATGAAAAGAGAGTGTGGAATAAAGTGTAGAAAAAGCAAGACATCAAACATGGCTAGGAAAGATAATTTGCTGTCCCAAATCCTATTAAATCTAATTTTATTTGTGTTGGAAAACTGCATTTACAGCATTTAACCTTACCTTTCTCCTGTTTTTACTACTTTCATGAAAATCATTTATCTTAACTACCTGTACTACTGTCTTAGGACCAACTTGAGCACCTGCAGAAACCATTTTTCACTTTTTGCATTTTAGAAGTATATTTTGGTGATAAAATTAAATACATTTGTTGACATTCTGTATGGTGTGATGTGTTGTGATTCTTTACGCATTTTTATATCTGTAATGAGGTCTTCAGAAATTTTGTACGTATAGAAATATATAGATATTGAAATATGTGTGTGTGTATATATATATACGTATACAATTTTTTTTCTTACAGCTTTTTTCGGAGCTCACATGAATGCGTTCATTCACGTTATAATGTATCTGTACTATGGGCTCGCAGCTTGTGGTCCAAAGATCCAGAAATATCTATGGTGGAAGAAATACTTGACAATTATACAGATGGTAGGTGCAGC